CAAAATTTCAAGCCCCAGGCGCTTTTGATACATTACAAACTCATTGGTTGGAAATTGCGAGAGTGATATGGCTATTGTAGCAGTTCTGTCTCTCGCTCTCTCAAGAGAACAATTTATATTTTCTATACAAGTAACTCAATTATATTAAATGTATTTTTTATGCACAGATGAAAAGGAAGCCTTTGTGTATATATGTCTCTCACGTCTTATCTTCGATTCCTAATTATTAACATTTCTAAAATGGGAGGTACTAATTAACGCCCTAGATTTTTTGAAATTGGTCGCCCTAACTTGGTAATTTGACGTTTTTGCCCAAAAAATTCACAATCCCTAACAAATTTTTACCCTAGGATTAACACCCATCGCCGTCTAGGAGTGCTGCTGGGAGTCTTCGCCGTTGAAGAATGATGTTATCACCGTCGCGGCCGCAAATTTTTTGTTGCACCCTCGACCTAGGAATTGCTCGCGGTGGCTGGGAGTGGTGCTGGGAGTCTTCGACGTACCCGAGTGAGCACTCGTCACCGCCGCCGCCGCAACTGCTTTCCACTGGTTAGTCTTCCTGAATCTGGCTCGACCGCAAAGAACCCAGGAGTAGCAAAGGGGCGTCGACGGGCGGACCGAGCAGCACAGCAGCCGCGACGGGGCCCTTCCTTCTCCCTCCTCGCCGTCGCTCGGCGATTGAACTCGAAATTCCAGGGTAAACGGTGCAACGGCGGCGATGGGGAAATTGGGTGACGAACTTCCAAGGCGAACGATGCAATGGCGGTGATGGGGGAATCAGGCGACGTACTTTCAGGCGAACGGCGGCGGTGGTGAAAGAATCTAGGACGAGATTTCTTTCCATTCCGAATAGATGAACGACGGCTTTGGGGCAACTGATTTAGAGATTAGGGCGAACATTTTGGGAATTGGGAGACGGGACTATTTTAGGGCTTAGGGGTAAAATCGCCCGTTTATTAATTTAGGGCGTCAAAATTTAAAAATTTAGGGCGTTGAATAGGATTTCAGTTCTAAAATTTAATTGGTCGATTAAAATTTACTCATCCAACCGAAATTGGGATTCTATTGATGTTTCCGGAAATGGAGGTAATAATACTGGCCTTTTACTGTTAATTAAAACCTTAACTAACATATAGAGGCTAATATATGAAGTATTAGTGGCTAAAGATCTGCCACAAAAATTATTATTGGCGACTCCAATATCTGTTCTAAAAGATAGAATTAATGACACATAGTTTCCAGCATAATCGCACTATTGGAGCCAGATTAAGTAGCCTTCGGATGTATAAATAGCAGTACATAATATTTGTCGCCATCATCTGTCGCTATAAGGAATTAGCGGCAGCCGTATTGATGACACATAAATATGTGCCTCTATAAGGTTTTACAGGCAATTAAACACTATATATAGGCAAATAATCAATGCCGCTAATACTCGTTTTTCTTGTAGTGATCGTATAAATGCTATCAGAACCTTTTTGTGTAACTCTTGTACTATAAGGGGTCGTTTGCTTCAAGGATTTGGTACATGGATTTGGTACCAAAAAATCAACTATCAAGGATTTAGGTACAATCCGTTGTTTGCTTGCACCTTTTTTAGAGACCAAATTCGTGGGGCCCACGGATTTTAAGGGTCCAAATCCGTGGACCCCACGGACTTATAAATCCCACATGTTGATATGGGATTTGGAATATGGCATAAATCCTTGATGACATTTTACCTATATACCCTCATGCACTTTTAATATTCCAAGGTTGCCCTCAAATTTAACTATTATACATTATAATTAACAATAAATGAATAATATAAACGTTCAATTAATGTGCAAACATGAGTTAGAAGTTAAAACGGAATTTTCTCGTTTATTATTATTGTCCATGTGGCAACATTATTATTGTCCATGTGGCAACATTACGTTAAAAGTTAAAACGGAATTTTCTCGTTTATTATTATTGTCCATGTGGCAACATTATGCTTATTAGTATGTATTGTCCTTGTTTTGTGTACATATCATAAACATGTCAAACATATAGAAAATGATAGTAAGGTAATTTTGAAGTTTTGTCCTTGTTTTGTGTACATATCATAAACATGTCAAACATATAGAAAAGGGCAATAATGTAATTTTTGACTTCAAGTAGTAAATCCCACACCTTTAAATCCATGATAAAAACATCCCAACAAACAAAGGATTGTTACAAATCCATGATGCCTCAAATCCTTGATAAATCCTTGGGTTTTTAAATTACAAAACCCTCATTTATAAATCCATGAAGCAAACGACCCCTAAGTCTTTGTGATAGAACTTGGGATTAGGGTTCTATCGGGAATTGGGGATTTAGGGATTAAGAACAGAATTAGGGATTTGAGAAGAGAAAGATAGAGAATCGACCTAGGCCTTTAGAGGGATTGGGAACAAGAACTGAGAGGATTGGGAGAATAGGGTTTAGGAGATTGTTTCTTAATATTCTTCTTGACTTATTCTGAATAAAACGCAAAGTACATATTTATAACAAAAGACTGAAAAAACTAATAGACTATCCTAATATGACTCAATGACTACTACCATATCTAATAATATCCTAATTATAGTAATAATAATTATTATGATAAATAGCAGTACATAATATTTGTCGCCATCATCTGTCGCTATAAGGAATTAGCGGCAGCCGTATTGATGACACATAAATATGTGCCTCTATAAGGTTTTAGAGGCAATTAAACACTATATAGAGGCAAATAATCAATGCCGCTAATACTCGTTTTTCTTGTAGTGATCGTATAAATGCTATCAGAACCTTTTTGTGTAACTCTTGTACTATAAGTCTTTGTGATAGAACCTGGGATTAGGGTTCTATCGGGAATTGGGGATTAAGTAGCCTTCGGATGTATAAATAGCAGTACATAATATTTGTCGCCATCATCTGTCGCTATAAGGAATTAGTGATCGTATAAATGCTATCAGAACCTTTTTGTGTAACTCTTGTACTATAAGTCTTTGTGATAGAACCTGGGATTAGGGTTCTATCGGGAATTGGGGATTTAGGGATTAAGAACAGAATTAGGGATTTGAGAAGAGAAAGATAGAGAATCGACCTAGGCCTTTAGAGGGATTGGGAACAAGAACTGAGAGGATTGGGAGAATAGGGTTTAGGAGATTGTTTCTTAATATTCTTCTTGACTTATTCTGAATAAAACGCAAAGTACATATTTATAACAAAAGACTGAAAAAAACTAATAGACTATCCTAATATGACTCAATGACTACTACCATATCTAATAATATCCTAATTATAGTAATAATAATTATTATGATAAATCCCAGGAATTGGGTTTCCATCATCCCCTCCCCCTTGAGACCAACCTTGTTCTCAAGGTTGACCGACTCGATCCGTTTCTTCCCACCTTGTCGTCTAATCCGATCGACCCTTTTTCGCTTTCTTTTCTTCCAATTATGCTCCCTCTTTTCACAAGTTATTGAACATAACTCATACAAAGCAATCCAAGCCCACACCCCATATGAGGTCGTAGCCCACTTTGTGGAATTGTCCCATCTTTCTTTTTGAACTTGCTGGCCCAGTTCTGATGCAGTCCAGGGCAAGCATTCGTCTGGCCCACTTTCTCCCAAACCACGACCCACTAGGTCCGGATTGGGCCGAACCTTCTTATTCCTGGCCGGCCGAACTTGGCCCACCCCAACCGCTTGCCTGTACGGCCAGCCCAACGTTGGCGAGCTAGGGTTCAGGAGAATGGAGCAGTCGCTGCCGCCCTTGTCCATCTCCCTCTTTGACTTCCCCTCAAGTCTCGTCGTTGACGCCTCCATCGTGTCCACCTTGTCCGGCGGCCGTCGAACCGCCAGCTGGTCGGCAACCCAACTCGAAGCACTCTCGTACGTCCCCTGTAGCGGGACTATCGGCGCTCGTTGCGCCTCCTCTCTTTCGGTCAACGAGGCGAAGGAACCCGCCCACCCTTGCTTCCGCTGCGTGGTGGCGGATGCGAGTTTTTGCAGCCCCGACTCTTCCTCCTCTCCGATACTACCTGCCGCCGTGCTCGTCTGCTTCTCCGACAATGGCCCGACCTCTGACAGTGGCATCTTCTCCTTGTCGTTCGACGTGAGACCCGATGCCAGCGTTCCTCCTTGGACGATCGAGGCCACGCCGAGCGCCGCGCTGAGCCCTCCGTCCGCCTGCATCGCTGCCGCCGTCACGTCAGCAGCCTCCTCGCGCGGCGGCTCCTCCGCCATCACCTGCCTAGGTCGCGCCGCCGGGAGCTCTGCCGGGGCACACGCCGTCTCCACCTCCCTGCCTCGTGCGCGAGCTGTCGCGGCCTGGTCGGCGCAGATGGCATCGAGCCGTTGTAGCATGCGTTTCCAAACTGGATCCGAGAGCCACGAGGACCTCATTATGGGCTCTGATACCAAATGATAGAACCTGGGATTAGGGTTCTATCGGGAATTGGGGATTTAGGAATTAAGAACAGAATTAGGGTTTTGAGAAGAGAAAGATAGAGAATCGGCCTAGGCCTTTAGAGGGTTTGGGAAGAAGAATTGAGAGGATTGGGAGAATAGGGTTTAGGATATTGTTTCTCAATATTCTTCTTGACTGATTCTGAATAAAACGCAAAGTGCATATTTATAACGAAAGACTGGAAAAAACTAATAGACTATCCTAATATGACTCAATGACTACTACCATATCTAATAATATCCTATTTATAGTAATAATAAATATTGTGATAAATCACAGAATTGGGTTTCGATCACTTTGTATATAGATTATTCCCTTGGTCCATACGTTCCATAATCACACGGTTTCTCTCATTAGTCTTCGCCCTTCACCATTAGACCAAGCAAAGAGCTCTCTATGTTCGAGGAACCATCCCTTCCAAGTTCCAACCTCCACCCAACAAAACATATACAATACCAAACACATAAATATCCACACAACTTGCCTAGCTAGCTTGACTTTCTCACAAACCCTCAATCCACCACTTCCCAATCATGTCAACCCTCCTCCTCGTCGCCCTCCAACTACTCCTCTTCATCACCCTCCTCCTCCTCCTCCCCTTCCTCCGCCGCCGCGTCACCTCCCCACCTCCTCCTCCTTCCCCCACCACCGCCTCCTCTCCTCCCTCCACCACCACCACCTCCCTCTCTCCCCTCCAACCAAACTACGACGCCTTCATCAGCTTCCGCGGCGACGACGTCCGGGACACCTTCCTCAGCCACCTCCACAACCACCTCAGCCACCACAAGAAGATCCTCACATACATGGACGACGCCGACCTCGCCCGGGGACAATCGATCTCGCCTTCGCTCTCCGCGGCGATCGAGAGGTCAACGGTCTATATAGTGATTTTGTCGCCCAACTACGCGGGGTCCAGGTGGTGCTTGGACGAGCTCGTGATGGTGCTGGAGTGCCGCGAGCGTTATGGTAGGAAGGTGGTTCCGGTTTTCTACGGCGGGGTGAGCCCCGGTGACGTGGGGAATGGAGTTGGGAGCTACGGGAAGAAGAAGCTGCCGCGGGAGACGGAGGAGGAGAAGGTTCGGGTTTGGAGAGCTGCGTTGACGAAGGTGGCTCAGATTTCTGGGTTCGATTCGCGGGTCATCAGGTTCGTACGTACTTTCGCCAGAATTTAATTAATTAATTCTTGGCATCATGATGCTCGAAATATTTATTTCGTATAACAACAACATGTAGTTTTATATTAGTATATATGTAATTTATACATGAAATTTCAAGTTACGTAGGAATTTTGATCCGTTGAAAGGGTCTGTTCATTAATCAAAGATTTGAAAGAATGGAAAAAGTCAGTGGTGTAGAGATGTAGACAGAGACCGAGGTGGCTTAAGATACCGTGTATAATTATGGGTTATGCACCATTCAGTCTAACTTTAGAAATGGTAATGGGGCAGGTCCGAGGCGGGTATCTTGATACCCATACCCGTCCCGCAGCAAGTTGGGTCCAGTTCGGGTATTTTATTATGGGGCACTGGTCGGGGCAGGTCGACCCAATGTGTATATAGTTTAGGTGAAAAGCATTAGAAATATTCGTTGTTTTCATTGAAATAGGCGGGTATCTTGCCTCTCGATACCAACTGCATACCATATGGTATCTTCTTCGTTTTTAATTCGACTTAAAAACGAGTGAGAAATCGTTTGTTAAAGATTAAGGGGGAGTGGGAATTAAAGGCTTTATAGGAGAAAGAAGGGGCGTTGATGTGGCTAATGGTGATTGTGTTATGCATGGTTATTGACCATATCCGCTCCCGATAGAGGTGGCAATTTCAATCCAATCCAACCCACCAATCCAATCCATCAATCCATTAAAAATATCCAACTAATCTAATCCATTTGATCCAAATTCAATTGGATCCATGGATACCTATAATTTTTATTTTTTACATTTTTGTACCTAAAATTTAATTTTTTATACAAAAAATATCATTGGAAAATTACATTTTGGTGCCTAAAATTTTTCATTATGACATTTTATTACCTAAGCTTTTCACATTTTTACATATTGGTCCTTGGTTGAGGATGTCATTTGGATTCATGGATAATCCACCAATCCATGAATCCACCAATCATTTAGATCCAATCCATTTGATCCATGCATCCACCAATCTAATATATCAATCCACCAATCCAATCCATTTGCCACCTCTAGATGTAGTTAAGGGGGATAAATAGAAGAGCTGAAACTGGAAAGTCAACTTCCGATCGAAGGCATCTGATAAAAAATCTCTTCTTTGACCTTCTCGGCCCACATTTCTACTCGACTTTTCAGCCCTACAATTTTCTGTTTTTCCAGCCCACAACTTGTTTACATGGTGTTTCGTTCGAGTTTAGTTATTTTAATCACCTAATAGGCTTATATATGTACCACGATTTTGAAAACAATAATCCAAATCCACCCAAATATTTTAGAACCCTAATGGTATGTGTAATATTGGTTGAGCAAGTTAACTATACTTTTTTATGTAAAAATTAACCCAATAACACTAAGAAAAGACAAGTATTTTGCACCATCGCACTGGAAGACTATAACTATTAAAATGACATTTATTTTTCTATTGAAAATTGTGTCAACAAGACTACACGAGAAAAATATGATAACATGTTCTAACTTCCTCACAAATATGATTTAGGATACCAGGAAAATAGTAGTATTAGAGGTTGGATCAAGTTGTACGATTTGCATAATTCAAAACTTGCAACCAACCCAAAAGAATTTTCAGAACACCTACTCTTGGTATCTAGCTAGTAGCCACTATCATCTCTTGTCATATTATCTTTTTGAGTATTTATTTACAAAATTCGTAACTAATATGGTGGATGCATGATCTCAGGCCTGAAACTAGACTCATAGAGGAAATATCAAGAGTCGTACTTGAAGGAATGCACAACAGAACACCACTACCACCAACAACAACAATGGCTTCACATTTTAATAATACTTGGTTCATTGGAGTAAACGAGAGGATGATGCAAATCAAACAACTATTATGCTTGGAGGCACATGATAACCGAACGGTAGGGTTGTGGGGGATGGGCGGGATAGGAAAGACCACTCTCGCTAGAGCCATATTCGATACATTCTCTTGTCAATTCGAAGCTTCCGAATTCATAGAGAATTTCACCCAACAGCTGATCGGGTCTCAGGTGTTTGACTTGCAAGACAAGTTATTCTCGAGATTGTTGGGTGATGACAACAACACGTATCGAACACATGCTCACGTGAAGCTCGATCGCCTTCGTCGCGTAAGAGTGCTTATTGTCATTGATGATATAGGTAACGATGTAGGCAACATCGGACCGTTAGAGGATCTCTTGACCAGACAGACATGTGACATGTTTGGACCGGGAAGTAGAATCATCCTGACGAGCAGGAACAAACAACTTCTTGCAAACCTATGCAATCACATTTACGAAGTCAAGGGTTTGAATGATATTGAAGCTCTTCAACTCTTCTACTTGCATGCGTTCAAAAAGGATTCTTCTTCTTCCCTACCGAGTGGTGGCTATGTGGAAATGTCATGGATGGCAGCTAATTATGCCGATGGGAATCCTTTGGCTCTTAAGATTTTGGGGTCTCATCTATGTGGTAGAGATGAGGAGTTTTGGGCTCGTGAGTTGGGTGCATTGCGAAATCACTCGAACCGTGTGGTTGAGAATGTGTTGAGGAAGAGCTACGATGGGTTGAGCCAAGTCGAAAAGAATGTGTTTCTTGACATTGCGTGCTTTTACCCTACATGGAGTAGGGATACATTAGGGTATTTTGAGGAAAAAGTGATAGACGGGTGTTATGAAGAGTATGGTGGTGGTATGAACCTCGTCACTAATCTCATTGATAAATCTCTTGTAAGTGTCGAAGGTAATAACGAGTATTCTTTCATCGCCATGCATAAACTGCTTCAGAGTTTCGGCCAACGGATGGTTAATGGAGAAAATAGAGTTTGGAAACGTTCAAGGTTGTGGGAAGCCAAAGATATATATTACCTATTGAGACAAAACAAGGTACGCACAAAAGTCCTAAACTCAGAGCTTGTGTCTTGTAAAATGAACTAAAATGTAGTGTTTCTCTATTGTTTCAACTTCCAAACAAACACATGTTTTTTTTTCTTCCTTGCCTTCTTAAGTACTTCGTGATTTTCTCATCTTAATAGGGGACTGAAGCGGTTGAAGGCATCGTTTGGAATGTATCGAATCTAACTTATGAGGTCAAAGATATACAAATTGTGGCTGACGCTTTTGAAAGAATGGAGAATCTACGTATGCTTGTGATTTGTTATTCGAGGAGTGAAGCTGTACTAAGGCGACGCAAACTGATTGTACCTGAAAGTGGGTTGACTTGTTTGCCAGACTCATTGAAGTGCCTGGATTGGGAGTCCTTCCCTTCCAAATCCTTGCCTCCCAATTTTTCTCCTCAAAATCTCGTCACGCTTGAGTTGGTTAATAGTGACATTCAACAACTTTGGGATGGCAATACACGTTATCAGGTACATATACACAAAACATCTATATGTTTCATGTCTATACTTTTCACTCTTTTTTTTACTTGTTTTAGCAACCAAATAGTGGTCACGGCAATATGATCAATTGTATATTTTATCAACTAGTTTTTCCAATCGCAAAAAGTTTTTTTTTCTTGTGTAGTGTGTAGTCTCTCCTTACCTCATGATAATAAATCTACACATATATGGTGCAGGAGTTGGGGAATTTGAAATCTCTCAATCTGGGTGGATGCATATACCTCAAGAAGTTGCCAAATGTGTGCACAGCCAAGAAGCTCGAGCGATTAGATCTTTCGTATTGCCAAAGTTTACTCGAGCTTCCACCCTCAATCCTATACCTCCCAAAGCTGAAAGAGATTTTGTTGTGGTACTGCATAAGTCTAGAGTTAAACAACTTAGAAGATCACTTGAACGACGTCGACGACGATGATGATGACATAGAAACAGTATTACCAAGTCTCCAAACATTATCCCTAAGCGGTACCAGAATCAAGAAGATCCCTGATTTCCTCTGCCGCTTGCAGATCTTGCAGCTTGGATGTAATGAGTGCTCAATGATGACAGAATTCCCAGTCATCCCAAGCCTCGAGGGATTGCGTCTGGGCAATACCCTAATCAAAGAAGTAGACTTCCTTCTCAAGTTAAAGGAATTGTTCTTCACGTCCAATGACCAGCTAACTCACCTCTCGACCGAGATCTATAAGTTGAAATGCGTAGAAAGAATCAATCTCTCAAAATGCATCCGACTAGAGGAATTCCCCGAGATTTTGGAAGCGATGGAATCCCTAGTTGAAGTCGATTTGAGTGGATGCATCAACTTAAGGTGGATTCCATATAGCATTAGTAATATAGTCCATTTGGAGATGCTTGACCTAAGTGGTACGTCGGTCGAGTATTTGCCCTACACGATTGGTGATCTCACGTTTCTGAAAATTTTGATACTAGATGGTTGTACCAGACTTGCTAGGCTTCACAGTATCTGCCTGCTATATAGTTTGACATGGCTGGACGTGTCTAATTGTGGTGAACTGCGACATTTACCGTTCCTTCCTTTGGATTTGAAACGTCTGAATGCATACAATTGCAAGTCACTTGAGACAATATCATACGCTGGAGAACACGATCTTGTTAGAAGTCAATGGAGGTTGGGTAACTGTCCGAACTTGGATATCGACGTGTCCATTCGTCTTCTATATAAGGTATGTACAGTGGATTCAATTCTAATTAAATGTAGGCGATTGCTATATTCTAATTGATTAAGGTTTGACCGATTAATTTAATTTTCTCCAACTTTTTCAATGTTGGATTAATGTAGTTTATCCGTGATGTTGTGGATCCGGTTCCACGTTATGATCTACATTGCCCGCTTCTTATTGTACCGGAAGAAAGTGTAGGTTGGGCAGAATGTATGGTTGGGGGAGAAACGAGCGCGGGAGGCTCGGTGATGGTGGATTTGTATCACCCTTGGAAGTTAAAGGGGGTTATATGTTGGGCACTCCTTGACTCCTCGTCCTTTGTTACCGTCAACAAGGCTTTGTACAATTTAGAGTGTTCATGGAGCATGATCTACGACGACGACGGCGGCGAGGAGGAGGACGAAGAAGATCGTGGTCACGACGACGAGCGACGTCATTTCTCTAGTTGTCTTGTTCGACGAGATGTGACTCGATGTGAGCAACTCGGCGGGGTGTTCTTGTGGTACGATAGTCTAAACATGTGTAAGTATCAAGCTATGGAGGAAGGGAATGCTAGGATTAATTTTTCCTTGTGTGCTGCGGAAATGGTGGGGGGCTGCTCATGGAGGGAGGTGGAGTTGCAGGACTTCATGATCAAGAGTTGTGGGATTAAACTAGTATATGACGAAGATGATGATGAGGAGGAGGAGGAGGAGGAGGAGGATGACGACGACGAAGATGATGAGGAGGATGACGAAAATGATGATGATGAGGAGGAGGACGATGATGATGATGAGAAAGAGGATGAGTCTAAAAAAAATTCGTCAATCTGAAGAGAAAAAAAAATAGACACCGTGAAAAATCAATAAATTAAATATATGATCTAGTGAATATGATCGTCGAAACTAAGTTTGGTATCAGCGAAATTCCGTTCAACTAATTTGGCGAGATCAAACCCATTACATGCTTAGTAAATCTCAAAAACAAAGTTTCACAGCATGCTGCATTTTTTTTTGTGTTCGGTAACATTGCAAGTGTTTGGCAATTAGATCAGAATTGGTGTTTACCTTGTTAAGGAATTGAGAAAGGAGAGAGCCGTTAGTTATCCAGTCCCGTCGGCCGTCGTTTTGTGCCGTTTGTTTCTGATTGTTCGTCTCTTTTTGGTGTGTTTATGTTTGTGTTGGGTTGTTGCTTGTGTGATGTGGGTATGGTGGGGAACTAACTTTGTGTTTGCTTTGTGGGGATCGGATACTTTCCCTTAACGGTATGTTATGGCAACAACACAAAAAGACGACCGACCGTTACAGTACCCACTCCAGACTGCGACTTCCGGCCAGCCAGCCAGCCAAAGCTTCACTCCAACCGCCAACTGCCGGTTCCACACCAACCCTTGCTTTGCTCTTTTTACCTTATCCGTTTCTTGTTTAATATGGACGAACAACAATCATGTTCCCATGTTGGCATAGATAAATTTGTTGGCCTTTATAGACTGAAGGTAAATTCGAAATTTTTGAAATGTTTTTTACAGAAGAAAAAAAACAATATTATGATTAATACAAGGTAATAGTCAATGCAAAAACTATATGAGAAGAAAAAATTAGTTGGTTATGACTGTAAGTAGGCACTGGATCGTACCGTCCACGGGCTAGCACGGCACGGCACGGTTAGAACACGGCACGAGCACGGACACGAAATATATGGGCCAGCCCGGCACGAGTACGAATAATTTATGGGTCGTGCCGGGTCTAAACTTCCTGGGCACGGGCACGAGCACGGGCACGGCACGGTATATAAGTGGGCAGTGTTGGGCCTAATATTTTCAAGACTTTCTTGAGTATAAGAACGGACATGGCACAAAAATAATAATTATTTTATAAAAAATAAATATGAAAAGAATTATAGGTTCAAATATTACAAAACATAAGGAGAAAAATAATTATTTGTTCTTGTTAGAAATGTCATAAAGATATATATGTAATTACTAACATAAGTAAAAATGGACAAAGATTTGTTACTTTTCTCAAACATTATCGGTTAATAATACTATTTTCCTCCGTTCTATTTTCACCTTCTTTTTCATTATCTCTTTTGTTTTCGTCTTTTTCATTAAACACGAATACGAGCGTGACACAAGCACGAATAGGCACGACACGATTTGAACCGTGCCCGAGCCTGGGTCGGGCCTAGCAAAGTTAACAAATGGGCTTGCATGGCACGGCATGAAAACTGACAGGCCGTGCCAAGCACGACACGAAATAAATTGGCCCGAAGCGTGCCCGTGTCGTGTCGGCCCAAGCACGGCCCAGCGCCCATGTACAGTTATGACCCAAGGCTCAAACTCATAATATGATTGGATGTTCTCATCTCCACATTATCATCAGACCATCTTTTTATGATGTAACGATCTAAAAAGTATAAAGAGAATCATTTCATTAATCATGCTACTTTCCTCTATTATCATTACAATTTCCTAGGGATAATTATCAAAACTATCTCCAAACTTTCTGTCATTTCACTGCCAACCTCAAATGATGATTAGAGACGTTGACCACACACCATAACTACTTCAGTTAATATTCTGCCACCAATTTCAGTGCCTCCAAAATTACTTAACCTTAATCATCATTAGCACAACTCTAATCCATCATAATTACTTGTCTGGGTCCGGGGTCCTTATCGGTCAAATTCCAAAAAAAAAATAAAAAAAAATCGCAACCTTGTTACTTTTCAGTCTTCCAGACCCTTCACCACAACCGACACGTGTACGCGTTCACCGGTAACAGCCGGTATTCCTAGCCGTAAAAACGCCGTCCCGTTTGTTTTGTTTTTTTCTGTTTAAAACCCTTCAGAGCGGCAACCCGTTCCGTTGTCAGCTCACTAGTCCCTCTTCTTCCTTCTCTGCTCTGAGATCTCGTCTCTCATCGGAATCGGAGGACTTTTACTTCCCGTCGGCGCAAAATGTCGGCGGTTGCCAAGCTTCATTCCCCCGCCAAGGCACGGGCGGAACCGCGGGGAGTTCTAGTCCCGGCGGGTAACCGAGTTAGGGTTCCGAATCCGGACGAGTCGCAACGGAAAACGGAGGTTCAGAAGAAGATCCAACAGCAACAGGGGAAGTCTAAAAGACAGCCGCCAGTGACGGTGGTAGCCTCAAAGGTTTCGCCGACGGCTGTGAAGAGCAATTTTTCTGTTGACAGCGTTTCCTCGTCCGAAGACTCGTCGTCGTCATCTTCTGCAGGTTCCGGTTTGAGCGGGAAGAAGAGCAATGTGAAGCGTCAAGTGAAATCCTCTGCTTCTCCTTGTCGCCGTGGCGGCGAATTGGCGGTGGAGCATTCGCCGACGAGACAGGAAGGCCCCGCGAAGAGATGCGATTGGATCACTCCCAATTCTGGTAATACTTCGCTTCACTTGTTAACGAATTCTGCCTCCAATTTCATGAAATTCGAAGGGAAATTGGGCGAATCAAATCCCTAGAAAGATAAAGAACACCCAAATTTCCCCCAGAAAGATCGATTTTTGTAACGCACAATCCTACACAGATCCACTATATGCTAGTTTCCATGATGAAGAATGGGGAGTTCCGGTATACGACGATCGGAGATTGCTGGAGCTGCTGGTGTTTTCACAGGCATTAGCAGAAATGAGCTGGCCTGAAATCCTCCATCTTCGACTCACATTCAGGTAGGCAACTCAACTGAAATTTGATGTTCTTGGCCACTATTTTGAGATGGGTTTTGGAGTATTAAGGTTTTCAACTTAATCTTTTGGGTTTGACAGGAAGCTGTTTGATGACTTCGATCCATCATCCATTGCGCCATTCACCGAGAAGAAGCTTATGTCACTGAGAATCAACGGCCATCTCTTGCTCTCGGAACAAAAGCTTCGTGCCATAGTTGGGAATGCTGAATCGATGCTCAAGGTATCAATGCTGATTCTGTTTTGATCAACCTAAGCTCTTTCCTACTGTGCAATGGGATTTGTCACCCGCCTTTTTCTGCTGCAGGTTCAGCAAGAGTTTGGTTCGTTCAGCAGCTACCTATGGCGGTTCGTGAACAACCAGCCATTGAGGAACGGGTTTCGATATGCTCGTCAAGTTCCAGCAAAGACCCCGAAAGCAGAGGTGATCAGCAAGGATCTGATGCAGAGAGGTTTTCGTTGTGTTGGCCCTACTGTGGTTTATTCGTTCATGCAGGCAGCTGGGATTGTGAACGATCATCTCTCGGCATGCTTCAGGTACCATGAATGCAATGTGAATGTGGAGAACAATAAGATGGAAGCTTCTGAATCTGCCTGAAACACTGTCATGTCCATATTGATATATTGCAGCAACAATACTGAGATTTATAATGTAGCATTTAGTCTCTCAATTGGATGTATTTGCAGCTTGTTTTTCTTCTCCCACTTAATGTTACCTTTTGTGCTAACTTGATTGGTAGTCCGAATACTTCATTTGTTGTCCTGGGATTTAACCACGATTTTTTTTCTACCTTTATCGAACACCATCTTTGTTTACAGCATTTAGGAGATTGCCCAACAACTTCCTTTTCAATTCCCTTCTTCGCAGCTGTTTTACTCTCTGTGAATTGACTCTAACTTGTGGCGAGCATAAGACTTTCAGCTCCTCGATCGCCAAGTTTCTTTAGTTCGCTGGTTCGCAAGCTTCTGTTGTTTTAGCTTCTATTGGGCACTGAGATACATATGGTTTGAGCTGAAAGTTGGGGGGAAAAAATTAACAAAATCTTCATTAGCAATCAGTCTGACCTCCAACGATCCTGAAATACTAAACTTGAGAGATGAAAACACAGCTAAAGGGAGAATATCCATGTAGGATTGGTGGTAAAAATTATCCTCTTCACATGCTTCTTCTTGTATCTAATAGCTAAGGATTCCCATGATAGCTGCATAATAGATGAACAAGAGCAAGTACTCATTCCTTTGAAATAAAGCAATATTTCAATCTAATTGCACTTCTGCAATAGGGAGCTCATAGCCACAACTTTCAGATAACTTCAACTAAAAATATCGACATGTTTCCCGAACAAACAATAACTCAAATCTACATCTTAATCACTCATTTGAATCAGTAACCACAATCTAACTACTCTCAAGTCAACCAACTTCAACGATTGGTCTCTGAATGGCCTCTAAAATATTAACCATGCAGCCTCTATTATTCCCTGGCCAAAACTATTTTAGAATCATGCCATAAAATTTCATGTTCATTTCAGTCTCAGATCCGCAACGGATGGTAAATATATAGTAAACACTGAAATTAACCTAAAATCTAAAAAGAACTTACGTGGTCGAAAGACAATTAGGACGATAATCAGTCTTCAATTTCTTCCCCTTTTCAATAGAGCGCCTAACAAGCAATAATAAGTCAAATCTACATCTTAAAATCACTCACCCATTTACATCAACCTAACCACTCTCAAATCAGCCAACTTCAACGATTAGTCTCTGAATAACCTGTACAAAAATTCACCCTGCAGCCTTCTAAGTTCTAACCCTTCTACAGAAGGCAACACCTTTAGCTACAATTGGTATTTGGAACATCTATACATAAGTTTATAGAAGAAATCAACAGCTGAGTTTGATAAGAGACCGGAAATAAACAGCATGGAACAGTATTTATTCATTCAGTTGCAGCATCTAGTAGACTTGGCTGCAGCCACAAAGCACACAGTCCATACCAGTCACATATAAATTCCACATGACATACATATCTCGTATCGGCTACTAGCTGAAACATCATTTACATTTGAAGCAAAGAAAAACTCCTAGATCAGTGTTTTAGAAACACAAGATTTTGGAAGACATTTTTTGGTTTCTCAGTACCAGAAAAGGCATATCTTCCCAGGTCAAAAGCCCAAATATTTACTGTTCATATATGAGTACTTGGAGCAGAAAAAATTTACCATTAAGTCACTCAGATAGACTACGTAGTTCGGCAACTTCTCGGGCACGATTACATAACCACCCGCAAAAGGGTTTCACATTAAAGCGAATGCAACCACAAAATGATTATCGAACCCACAACTGGAAATGCATGTATTCAGCAGCACTGAAGCGATTTTGCCAAAAGCCATCGACCAAAAGCTTGTGACTTAAAGTTGCAGACTTGCAGCACATAAAAGGCATTACTTTGTGACCAGAATCACCCTGATGGTCATCCTAACCAATAAAAACGCAGAGGAGGCCAAATTCTCATTCAAACAACCTGGATCCAATCTAGAACACAACCTATGGCGGCATTAAGCTCACAAGCAGCAAATCAAAATGTAAAAGTACAAACTTCCAGACGCCGCACAAAGACGAGGGATCAATTTAGCTCTACAGAGAGCCTTAGGAGCAGCTCGCAAAGTTGCAAACCTTAGAATCGCGAAGAGAAACAGCGAGAAAACGCAGAGTGAAGAAAGCAACGGTGGCGAAATTGAAATTGACCAGAGGCGCACCTTTACGGGTATAGAAACCGGTCGGCTTGCAGTTCTTGCCCTTGTAGTAAATAGTAATTGCGCGGAGCCCTTTTGGAGGAAAGAATGTCAAGTGACGAAGGCCGCTTCCTCCTCATTGCCCTTGCAATCCCCATTATAGAACCCAACGGCATTTTCGTTCGGAAGAATTAGTTTTTATCACTCCCAGCAACGAAGCAGGACCCGATTCTGGACAGCAATCGATTGTTGAGCGAAAAGCGTGCGTACAGGTTCCCAAATCGCTATTGGGGTTTTCATTTTATCAGAGTAGGGTTTCTGGCTTTCTGCTATTCAGCGCAACAGGGGTAAACCGACAACCGTAAATGGGCAGGAAAAAATCCCAAAATATAAATATTTTTAAAACAAATTTCTAAAATACACACGTTATAATTTTTTTTTCCAAAATATACATGTTTGGGCATCACTGCGGTCGTCAACAGAAGTGAATGCATTCACCACGGCAGATAAAAGCGGTGAATGCATTACTGCAGTTGACGGCCGTGGTGAATGCATCACTGCGGTTCGCGGTTGACGGTCGCTGTGAATGCTTGAAATAACACTGAAACTTCAAATGAACGTAACTTTGCTCTCGCTTATCCGATTGTAGCAAAATTATTTTGATTCTATATAACTTTTTAAGATCCTTCAATTGGCAACAAGCCTTCATCCCAAAAAAAATTCGTTTGCTACCCCGAACAAGCAATTTATCGATTTTGACAAACTTTGGAAGACCATAACTTTGTACTCTGAAATTCGAATGTCATCAAAAAAAAATTTTATATCGCATAAATTTTGATGGACTACAACTTTGATTATAACCAAAATTTTGGAATGTAGGTGGATTTGTGAAAAGTAAAGGCAAAGTTAATCCCAAAATCCCGTATACCCCAAAAATATTTCTTTAAAAAAAATTCTTTCCTAGTAAAAGTTGTAGTTCTTAAAAAGTTATGCACAATGAAAAAAAATCTTATGACATTCGGATTGAGTAGCTAAAAGTTATGGTCTTCCAAAGTTTGGAAAAATAAAAAAATTGCTCGTTCGGGTTTACAAACGACATTTGTTTGAGATGAAGGCTTAATGCAGATTGAAAGACTTGAAAATTTATGCGGAATAAATAAATTCGCTACAATCGGATAACCGAGCGCAAAGTTACGTTCAATTGAAGTTTCGGTGTTACGTCAGACAATCACCGCGGTCATCAACCGTGGTGATGCATTCACTGCTTTCGTCTGCCGCGGTGAGTGATGCTCAAACATGTATATTTTGGAAATTTTCTTTATAACGTGTGTATTTTAAAAAAAATTAAAAAAATATGTATTTTGGGATTTCATCCAAATGGGCAGAGATCTTCCTAGCTTTTGGAAATTTAAAATTTGTGTTGAATTCCGAAAGCTTCATGTGTGAGTTTGTAGAATTTGATAATAAGATTTTAGTAGCTTGAATTTATAGAAGGAGCTTATCTTCTTATGTTTAATGAAAGATTTGTATTGGACTGTATAAAATAGAAAATGATAATTTGTAAAAGTTGAGAACCGTTACCACATACAATTGAGAGAGCAGAAAACCACGAATTATTCATTGTGATAGTACCACACCTATTGCTAAAGTTTAGAATCGTTACTATAACAATAAGAGGTTATAGATTTGTCGTAAGCAAGGGTACCGTAAGACGTTCCCAATAATAAGAGCCGTGAGGTTGGATCATGTACGATTAGAAGATAATATAGTTTATCCTTTGACAAAATGATTAGCTAGAGTGAAAGTCCAAAATACAGTCAAAGGTATGAGACTTAAACCTACGAAACGATGAATTACACATGATTGTAACCCAAACCATAGACATGAGATCCCAAGAAATGGGTATCTCATAAGAAATGGGTTCAATGGATTATTACAGAAGTTAATATGAGAATAATCATACATATTGAAACATGAATTCTTGGAGCTTACAGAAGTCAAGATAATAGGCCAAAAGTAACTCTTAATAAGATATATACTCTCTATGGATTAGGGATGGCAAAAATATCCGTAACCATGGATATCCATCCGAATCCGACCTAATCAGGTAGGGTAAAACTCGAACTCAAATGACTTTTGTGGGTACGGGTAAAACCCGAACCCGAATATTATGGATAATGGGTGGACATGGTTTACTCATTATCCAACCCGAACCCGCCCGATTATACACATGCACATGTATTTTGTATATAAATAATCATTATTTTTCTCTAACATATTTTATGTTTAGCATATAAGTATAATATTTTCATGAAATTGTGTTGTTTTAATTAATTTTCTTCATTATAGTGAATTATTGTCGCACTTTTCCTCTTATATAATGGGAGACTACGTGTGAATGTTCACATATTGGTTGGAGTTATAAAGAGAAATTATTACCCATGGATAACCGTGGATACCCGAAACCCGAACGGGTATGGACATGGTATTGATTTTTACCCATTTCTTATGTGGGTATGAGTTTGAGTAAAACCCGAACTACTTTGGGTAGGGTAACGGATATGCACTATCCGCGCCCAACCCGACCCATTGCCATCCCTAATATGGATGGGGTCGCTTCCTATGTAATTCTGGAGGCACAAAATTTCTACAACATTCACTAAACCGAGATAGACGTGCAAGACCATAAATGCACGGTTTGTTAGAGAATAACAATCTGAAAAAATCAGGTATGTTCATTCTTAGAGATAAAGTTCAAAACTATAAGTCACTTTTGTTGAATGTGAAGTGTAACTACTATGCTAGGTTCAAATGGAAAGATATCTTGGTTAATATCTGTTGTTATATGACAGATTCATGCCCTATTCTAGTGGGAGATTAACATAACAAAATATAATTAAATGATTACTCAATTTTAGGAGATGACATAACAAGAAATGAGAATATCCAATTCACTCTAGATTTCAAATTTTAACTATCTTCTCAAGTGGATGAATTCATTTGATCTCGTAGAAACTAGAAAGTAGTCAATTCTCTGAACAAATCATACGTACGTCGATAGAAGGTGTAGTATTACGACTCACAATCATACGAAAGTCAAATCCCATCTACTTAACATAATTCTAAACACTTTGAGAGAAGAGTCCTTCCTAACTAGGGGTGGAAATCAGTACGGTATCAGTGTTCCAATATCGAATACTGAAATCTCGAATACCGAATTACACTTTAAAATCAATCTCATCCCAATTCCTAAATAATTTTGGTATCTCAATCCCTAAATATTACGGTATCCCAATCGGTATTATCGAATACGAAATTAGTTAAATTTATAATTAATTGATTAAATATATAAATTAAATTTAATTGTTTAATTTACACCAAATAGACTAAAAAGGAGTTTTACTTTTAACTAGAGCTGAGGACATTTTATTGTTCAATTAGCTGCTTCCCATACCACTTGTTGATCGGGATTTGGAGATGAGATAACTGAAGCTACATGGGCGGCATAATTTCTCTATTTCTTGACCTGCTTTTAGTGGTTGTCGCCTGCTTGCTCTTCGCCGAATCGATTAGTAATTGTGAATTGAGAGAGCCGAATTGGGAGAAGATACTGACCTTGATTCTTTTAGTGGGATGAGAATAGTTGTCGCGTGTTGGCTGGCTGATAGCTGCCTCGTATCAGTCGTATGAATTTTCAAAGTCCTATTGCTACGGTGACATGCACTTTTCGGTCGACCTCATATAGGATTAGGTCGACCTAATCTGTTGTTTCAGTGTAAAAACAGTTTCATGGTGCCTACTTTGGAGATTCATATCTTACAATTAGCTAGATGGAAATTGGAGATTAAAGGCTTGTTTTGAAGCTGAAGTGTCCCTCTACACATTAACCCATTGTTTCTTTGCCAGGGAAAATGAGAGAAAGGAAAGGAAAAGGGGGGAATTGTGGGTTCCAATAAAATTTCCCCCGTTTCCGAAATGTTCTACAGTACAGAGGTGAGGGAAAGTGGAGGGGCCGCGTACTGTGCTAGCCTCACCCCCAAATCGGAGGGAAAATAATGAGTTGCCTTGTCTTTTTTGTTTGTTTGTACCAATCTCTCTTTTCTTTCTTTCTTTCTTTATTTATTTCTTCTCTCTTTTATCTCTGTAGCCCGTAGGAATTGGAGAGCTCAACTTTAATAATAATAATAATAATAATAATAATAATAATAATAATAATAAATTGGCAAGGAAAGGCAGAGGAAAAGAGATTTGTGATTAAGAAGTGATTCTAAGATATTTATTGTTTTATTAAAATAGGAAAAGGAAGCATACAAAATGAAAAGAAGACGGCGGAGGGTTTTAGATAATGATAGAAGTAATTACAATTTGTTATCCATTTTAGCTGAATAATTGGGATTACTCCTCATTATTAAAATAATGGTTTGCTAAATTATATATCATAGTGAATTAGTACGAAAATCACGAATTAATATAACGATATAACGTATGATGGAATTTTAGTTTGAATTCAAATTGATGATTTTTTATAGAAGTAACGGTCAACCATTAGATCTAACCGTCGACATATTTTCGTACTATTCTACTTT